GGGATTATAATCAATGTAATGAAACAAGTCATATGAATGGTTGAATGTGAAACTGATGATGTGCCCTGTAAACTTTCACTCAATCCACAATAAAAACCTTTAAAAAAAAAAGAAAGAAAGAAAGAAACAATCCTAAGCTTTGGCCTGCCCATCATCATTGGGAGTGAGAATGGGTCACATTTCAAGAAGCGAACTCAAGAAGTTGCTCAAGCATTGGACATCACCTGGAAATCGCAATCAAGTGAAGCAAATGAAGTAAACTCTCAAAAGGCAAATCGTAAAAATTTGCCAAAAAGTAAATGGAGAGAAGTCTTACCAATTGCCCTGTTATAGGTGCACATAGCACCTAGAGATAAATGAAAGCTGAGCCAATTTGAGCTCCTATTTTGCCAGCCCTTTTCCAGGAATCGTGAGTTGGCAAATGGAGGTCAGTTGTATGTATTAGGGAGTGAGGGAGTCTGTTCTTACTTGAAAAGTTTGTCTGTTGTGGTTTCTTGTATTCACAGGTTCTGCCACTTATGGCAGAAATATCCCTTTGATGTTCCTGCTCATCATTTATTTCTAGGAGAGCAAGTCTTTCTATGAACAAGGAATGACGAGCCTCTTCAATGGAAGTGGAGGTGGACTTACACCATTTTTCTGACCATCCACACCGCAGTGAAATTAGAAGGAGTGAAACTTTGGATCCATTGTACCAGATTGAGTCTACACCTAATCCTGACCCATGAACTGAGCCCCAAAGAGACAACTGGAACTCTAAGTCTCTTGAAGACCGTAAGCTCTTATTCAAAAGACTATGAAGGCTTTAGCTATTTTCCTACTGATCCTTCCCAGCTAGAGATTAATATAAAAAAAAATTAGCAAAAATGAAAATGTTTGGGTTTACTTAGCTCAACAAGTCTTAAATACCTCAGAGGTAAAAACTGTAGAAGAAACTTTTATGTTGTGTTTAATAGGAGTCAATGCTCCAATATAACTGATTTAAAATTATAACAAATTCATAACCATTAATAAGACCACTGGAGTCCTGGTGTGGTGCTGTAGGACAAAACACTGACCTGCAAGGTTGGTTTGAACTGCAAGGTCAGTGGTTCAAACTCACCAGTTGCTTCTGGGAAACCCTATACAGTGTCACTATAAGTCAGAACTTCCTTGACAGCACTTAACAACAACAACAATAGGACCATCAACTTTACAGATATATATATATAATTGGGGCTCTACAAGCCATCATATAGACAAAAGTGTATTTTCCATGTTTGTCAAAAACAGTGACAACTTCTGAACAATATGTTTCTTTTGTGAACTGCTCTAGAAATTTTATTAACTGCCTGGCTTGGTTATCTTGTGCTGTATAACAGAAATACCAGAAGTAAATTGCTCTAACAAACAAAAATTCATTCTTTCACAGTGGAAGAAACTAGAAGACCAAATTTAGAGTGCTAGCTCTGTGGGGAGGTCCTTGTCTCCTTTCAGCATCGGTAGGACCGACAGTCCCTAGAAAACTCCATGTGTCTTGGCATCAATCTTTCCCTGGATCTTGGAGCTTCACAGCGCAAGGACCCCAGGTCTAAAGGACACATTCCACTCCTGGCTCTCCTTTTTGATGGTAATCGATCCCCTTTCTCTGTCTGCTTCTCTTCCTTTTAGCTCTTGTAAGATACAAGGTGCTGTGTGCCATACCCCTGGATTCTGAAGGCTTATGGGTGGTGCTTGCTGTTGTTAAGTGCCTGCAAGTTGTTTCCAACTCGTTGTTGTCATTATGTGCCGTGGAGTCGGTGCCAACTCATAGTGACCCTGTACAAGGTTTCTGAGGCTATAAGTCTTTACAGGAGCAGAAAGCCTCATCTTTCTTCCATGGAACAGCTGGTAGTTTTGAACTGCTGACCTTGAGGTTCGCAGCCCGATTTGTAACCACTACATTACCAGAGCTCCTTTTCCAACTCATAGTGACCTTGTATAGGGTTTCCAAGGAGCAGCTGGTGGGTTTGAACTGCCAACCTGTGGTTCTCAGTCCAGGGCTGATACTACAGCTACCAAAGATACTGCAATTCTTTTATTGGTTTATCACATCAGATCACATCGTATAAATGCCACATTACATTATCACATAACTGCCAAATCACTGAGAATCATGACCCAGTCAAGCAGACACATATTTGTTTGTGACACACTTCAATCCATGACACTACCCTAGAAATTGTATTAACTAAGTATCAGAGTTATGTGAAGTATACTAAGGTAACCACCATTAGCTGCAGTAGAGCCCACACCAAGTTACCTACAGGATGGTTTTTGCTATGCAGAGCTAAAGCTTATTCATACTGACCACAAATGCAACTGGAGGGTCTTGTTCTATTGGGAGGTTGAGTGCTATCCTCCCGTCCTTATCCCAAGGAGAATAGAATCTCAGCATATACTGATCCTTAAATTTCGATGAAAACTGTAATGGAAAAATTCACTAAAAAAGCCAGGCAGAATAGGTCTCTCTTGAGCACCCTAGGTGGAATACTGGGGCTTGCAACTCACACCACCAGAAATATGAATCTTTTAGCCCATGTTGTCACGAAAGGCTTAAACTACACACTGCCCCAAGCTATAGATGCCTTAAGGCAAGAGTGAGGGCAAGTCTGAGAATCAGTCTTAATAAACCATGAAATCATTAACTACTTGTTATTAACACATAATCATGGGTGTAAAGAATTCAAAGGAATGTGCTGTTTTAATCTGACTACATTCAAGGGAAGGTAAATCAAATTGAACAAGTTGTTTCTGATAAAGTTATTTTCAGTTTTTTAAAGGCTTCAGTTTTAACTTAGATTGTCTTACTTCATGGTTTCCTGACTTCAACTGGCTCAGTTATTCCTAAGTGCTCATTCCTTTGTGACCTAGTGTAAACCAAGAAGACCAAATATACAAGCCAGTCACCAGGCAATCGACCCAACATTATGTTACTCTCTTGCCCTCACCCCAAATTATGGCCAGAAAGTTTCATACAACACAACAAATTAGTGAAGCCATTCAATTAATGAAGTGTTAATAGCTTCAAGGGGGGAGGGGAGGAAATGGTGCAGAACATTCACTAAAGGAATAAGCAATACCCTTGGAGGAGCTTCAGAAAGTTACTCCCGATAAAATAAAGGAAACAGAAATATAATTTGTTAAAACCAGATGTTCAAAAGACCTGCTGATGACAACAAAAAAAGAAAGAAAGAAAAGTAACTATAAATCTTAGGTCATTGACCCTAGAGACATTACCATACTAAAAACCACACTGCTGGGTGGACATTGAGCATCATAATGAGATGTACTAAGACTCACCATTCCTTGATCCCTAATTGTATATGTTTAACCTGTAATCATATGAAATTGTATGTATAGGATAATTATGATGTGATTTTTACTCTTTAAAAGCCACTTGAGCATCTAGAGGCAGACAGAATCTGGGGGGCACCCCTCTGACTCAAGCACAGCATAATGAACGCTGTAACTTTTCCTCTTTCCTTCTGAGTGTCTCTATTGGCTTAAATCACTTCAGGCAATGGACCCAACATTTTTGGAGTAACAAACTCAAGGGTTTCTCACAGGCACAGGCACAGGCCCTTACATAGTAACTTCCTTGCAGGGTTAAAAAATTTTTTAATTATAAAAGTAAAAGCAAAAAAAGCAAATTCCATAGTGATGTACACACCCACCATCTAGTGCCATTGAGTCGATTTCAACTCATAGCAACCCTATAGGACACAGTAGAACTGCTCCATCGGGTTTCCATGCTAAAACTCTTTATGGGAGCAGAAGGCCTCATCTTTCTCCCTTGAAGTGTCTGGTGGGTTTGAACTGCCAACCTGCAGTTAGCTGTCTAGCACTATCAGGGATTCTGATGTATATATAGCATTACATATATGCATATACACAAGAAAGGTTCAGAAAGGATAACCATGAAATGCTGAACTCTGGGAAAAAGTGGGCATGGTAAGGTAAGTACTTTCACAGTGTTATTTTTTTTATGTACCGCCGAGTCAGTTTCGACTTGTAGCAACCCTGTATGGATTTCTGAGAAGCAGCCGTTGGATTTGAACCACTTGCAGTTCAAAGTGCTCTTGCAGCCCAGTGTTTTATCCTACAGACAAGATAAGAGTGTAACTGGAGGACTTCCACCATGTAGGCATGGGTATAGAATTTGGAATTTCTTTTACTAATGAGGATGGCACAAGATTAGGCACTGGTCTATTCTATTATATAGAAGATCAACATCTTCGGAAGCTTAATCAAAAGCAACTAACAGCGGCAGCAACAAATATGTTTATATAAAAATGAAAATTCTCATTCTTTCTTTTAAGGTCAGTTTTAGAATGATCTTGGAATGTGACGTGTACCCAACATGGAAATCGTTGGCGACATCCTATGCTGAAGATGTGTCTACATCTATTTGGGGCCAAAGGGAGCTGAAAATGTATGAAAGTACCTGCTCTTAGCAAACACTAATCACTGGCCTTGTTAAAGGGACCTTTGCCAGCCCTGCCTACAGTTCCCAGGTTGGGAAGCAAGCCATGGTGCTTCCTGCTACCTCCGGTGGAGAATATTCCACTACAAGGACAGCTGCTTCCCTCGGGAATCTTCAGTCTCGGAGGACTTCCAACACCTGCCCAATTGACTCCTTACCACCTACGCCCATGTCCAGGACACTTACCGTCTAAATGCAAACTTGTCTCTCCAGACTCTTTCCTCCCAAGTTCCAAATAACCAGGCCATGCAGAATCTCAAGATGCGGTTCTACTTTTTCTACTTCATTGCAGAGGCTGACATTTTTCATAGATACAGCGAATTATGGAAGGAGACAGTGATCTCAGTCTCCCTAGGGTCTGAGCCCCTTAACCACTCCTCCCCCAGCTATTTTCAACCCCTCCCATTCCCCTATTAGTTTTTCTTTCTGCAAATCTCCCAGTAGAGAAAGGTAAGGTGTAAGGGTAATGTGGGTGTGGCAGGCTCAAGACTTGTAGTCAGGGGCTCCTGATGTTGTGGGTCTGCTTGGTCTCACACACCCAGCGATGCACCTGCTTGCAGAAATCATCATTCCATTGGCCATCTGGCCTGATTTCAACACAGTCTTCACTTCCTCCCATCTCATGCCCTTTCCAGTTGTCAGGCTGAGAGTAAGCCCAGTTCCTAAAAAGGAATGAGAGAAGTCCAATTCTGATCCCCCAAACATCTCTGTCTGACCACCAGCATCCCCCTCACCCACATCCAGAAAAGCACACTTGGGAGGGACTAAGGGAGTAGGAGATTCAGTCTTAGAGGTTAGAAGTCTGGGGAGGAGAGGTGTTGTGGATTGAATTCTGTTCTCCCAAAATACATCATCAAAATGCTAATCTCTACGCCTGTGGTTATAATTCCTTTGGGGAATGAGTTGTCTTTGATATTTAATGAGGTAGGAATAGTGTCCGGTACATTTTGAGTCAATCTCTTTTGAGCAAGATCTTAAAAGGTTTAGTGCTTTTTTGAGATATAAAAGAGATTAAACAAGTGACTGTTTTAGGAGGAGAGATGAGGTGAGATCAATACCAAGACACACAGAGATTCCCCAAGGAACAGGAAACAGAAGTTATAAGACAAGACCTTCCCCCAGAGCCGACTGAGAGTGAAAGCCTTCTGCTAGAGTTGGTACGCTGAATTCAGACTTCTAGCTTCCTCAACTATAAGAAAATGAGTTGCTGTTGGTTAAAGCCATTCACTTGTGGTATTTTATTATAGCAGGACTAGATAGATAACTGAGACAAGAGAGTTGAGGAGTTTGGTCTCTGAGGGACATGGTGGGAGTCGAGTAGGGCAAAAGTCCAGGTGACTGTCCTCCCCGCCTCCACCCCGAGACTAACAGCAGATATAGACAGTCACTTACGTATAGCTATTTTCATAGTTGGTACCATCCACCCACTTCCAGGAGCTGTCACTGCCAGTAAGTCCTATCCAGGTGTGAAAGGGGTTTATGTGTTGGAGAATGAATTTCTGGAGAAACAGACAGGAGAGAAGTTCTAGTACATTCTTTCCACCCTTATCCTTCAGCTATGGTCCCCTTTGCTTTCACCAGTCTGATCTGCCCCAAGCTGAAGTAGCAACTCCCAATTCAACTAGTTTTCGTTACTTTATTTTTATAATTATAACTATTGTTTAGTGAATACTTACTGGGGTTAAAAGCCCTGGGTGGTGCAAATGGTTAAGCACTTGACTACTAGAGCCTAAAACTTGGCAGTTCAAACCCATCTAGAAACACCTTGAAAACTCTGTGGAGCACAATTCTTCTTTACCACATAAGGTCAGCATTAGGCACAATTGGGTCAGTAGCAAGTAACAACCACACTTTTGTGGCGTACCTGAGTGATGCAAATAGTTAACACAGACAAACAAAAGACAGACAAGGCAAATGAAAGTACGAACATACCCACAGGCACCTCAGAAGAAAGGACTGGCAATACTTCTAAAAGATCAGGTATCAAAAGCCCAATAGATCCAGGTAGCCAACAAACATATAAAGAAATAAATGTTCATGATCACTAGCCATTGTTGTTGTTGTGAAGTGCCATTATTGTTGTCAGGTGCCATCAAGTCGGAACCGACTCATAGTGACCCCATGCACAGCAGAACGAAACAATGTCTGGACTCAGGAAGGGAGAGGGGCTGTGTGCTGATGGCCAGGGGCAGGCTTGCAGGGTGTACCCTTTGGTTGTTTGATAATGCATGGAGGGGATTGTAACCATGGCAAGCAAACGATATAAAATAGGATGAATGTAAAGCTAATGTTCTCCCATGTAAACTACCACATAATTCACAATAAAACATTTTTTTTTTAATTATTTATTTCCAGCACATTTTCCTTGCCTCTAAAATGGTTCAGTTTAAGATTTAATTTTAGCACATTTAATTTTATGCAGATAAATTACAAATCATTTTATTTTCCAAAGATGTTAGAAATGGGCTGGGACTCACCAGGTTATGTATCCCATCGACATTATTCCATGAAATAATTCGGAAAGTAAGGAATAATTCCAACTAAACCCAAATCTCCTTTCCATTAGCCTTAAATTGTCACTGTCAGAATTAGACATTTGGAAGAGGATTCTTTCAAGATGGGAGATTAAAAATTCCAAATTCATTAAAATTGAAGTATTTAGAAATACATGTAAAAGAAAGACAGATGAATGGATGTTTTCAAATTACAGTGTTAGTAAAGAATATTGACCATGCCCTGGACTGCCAAGAGAATGAATAAATCAGTTTTAGAAGAAACACAATCAGAACGCTTCTTAGCAGTGAGGATAGTAAGACTTTGACTAACCTACTTTTGTACATGTCATCAGGAAAGACCAATCAATAGTGGTCTGTGTACACACACACAATGTAATAGAGATTAATACTGTTAGCTGATGTGCATGGAAGATATTGTAACAATTGCAATGATTTGTTGAATGTAAAAATGATGATCTGCCCTGTAAACCTTCATTTAATTCACAATAAAAGCTTTAAAAAGAAAAAAGAAGGAAAAAAAATAGAGCCAAGGTCAGGGCCTGAGCTCATGACTGCATTCTGTTCACAGCCCTAACCCCAACCCCCCACTTCAGTTCCAATTCAGGGCAGCTACCCGGACACTGGTCTTCAGCTCACAATCTCAAACTCCTGGACATGGCTCTAGCAGAAGGCTTTCTCTCTCTGTCTTTGATGCCTACATTACTCATGTCCCTTTACATCTCGGTTTCAGTCGTCTCGTCTATGGGTGGCTCTCATTTCCTGAGCTTTGCCAGTCTCCAAGTTTTCCAGACTTGACCCACTGCCAAGATTCCCATTATAACCACATGCGGTTTGGAAGTTTGTCCTGAAAGGAGGAGGATGTCCTGGGTCTGTGGAGCCAGGGAATGGGGTGGAAGTGGTCTCTGAGAGTACAGACAGCTCTCATGCAGACCCTCTACTACAAGAACCCTTCCAAGTGGCTTTCTCTTACAGATATGGCTATTCCGGGGGGCTTAAGTCCCGTGGCTTGGGAAGATACTGAGAAGGGTATTGTATTGTTAGTTTTGTATAGGAAGTAGAGATGGACTGACCGCATGTGTACCTGGTGGTTCACTTTCACAGCATATTAAGGGTTTTAACAGCATTTGGAAGGAGCTCTGGTAGCTTTGTTGTTGTTGTTGTTGCTTAGTGGTTATGAATTAGGCTGAGAACTGCAAGGTCAGCAGTTCAAAACTACCAGCTGTTCCGCGGGAGAAAGATGAGGCTTTCTGCTCCTGTAAAGATTTATAGCCTCGGCGACCCTGTACACGGTCGCTTTGAGTCGGAACTGACTCCACAGCACATAACAACAACAACAACAGCATTTGGAGGGAAATTACCTTACACAGCTGTCATCCCCTAGAGACACAACTCAATAGGTTCATCACTTCAACTTCATATATTACCCAATGCCATTGATTCTGACTCATAGCTCCCCTCTAGGATAAAGTTGGAGTCCTGGTGTGGTGCTGTAGGATAAGCACTGGAACCACAAGGTCAAACCCCCCAGCCGCTCACTGTATAGGATCACTATGAGTTGAAATGGACTTCATGGCACTTAACAGAACAAAGTAGATTGCCCCAGAGGGTTCCCAAGGCCATAAATAGTTACAGAACTGACTGACACATCTTTCTTCTGACTTCATCTGTTATTTTTGTTGAGTGCCATCAAGTCGGTTCTTACTCATAGCAACCTTGTGTTGGGTTTCTGAGGAGCGGTTGGTGGGTTTGAACCACAGACCTCATGGTTAGCAGTCTAGTTTGTATCCTACAGCACCATACCAAGACTCAAACTTCATCCGTAGCACTCCTGAATTTAGAATCCTGCACAAAGGTAATGAGCTGTACATGAGGAACTAGCCCTCAGAGGCTGGTAAGGCTGCCCCCAAATTCAGAGGAGTCCACACAGTTGGAGAGAATGTGTATGGAGATGAGATATTCTATTTGCTGCTGGTTACTACAGCAAGTTTCCACTTCCAGCACCAGAAGCAGAACTGAACAACAACAACAAAACACATTCTCACTATCTAGCCTTCCCTGCTGAAGACTCAGGGGAGGAATCAAATACGGCCAGATGACCAGTGGAGACAGTCCAGAACAATCCATCCCAGCGAATCATGGGTAGGAATTGTACTCATTCATAAATGCAGAGGGAGAAAACTCAGCATAGCAATTACTTTTAAAAAAGGAAAAAGAAGGACAAGGTGGAGAAGAAAGAAATGTAGTATTAAAAAGAGATGACACCTGTAAAGGTAGAAGTTCTGTAAAAAAAGAGGGGAGTAGTTAATCTTATAGTCCAGAAATAGAGGTCCCTAGGACCATCAAGGGAGAAGAGCACGAGCGGAATGTGAGATCTTATCCAGAGAAGCAGTGACACCAGAGATGAGGACATGGAGAGACAGAGCATCTGAGGACTCTAGACTCATGGAAAGAGAGGGATTGTGTGCTGGCAGCCAGGAGGCAGGCTCACAGAATGTGCCCTTTGGTTGTTTAAATGATTATATATTCCTGTGTGTTTCTGTGTACATCACCCCCACACACCAAAAAAACAAAAAAACCCTAGAGGGAATAGAAGCAAATACTGTTGAATGATGATGCACGTAGGAGAGTGTAATCATTGCAATGAAATAATGAGTGTAAAACCAATGTTCTCCCATGTAAACTTTCACTCAATTCACAATAAAAACTTTAAAAAATAAAAAGAGAGAGACGAGAACACGATGGAATGGTCAACCATTCAAGATCAAAAGTGCAGCATTGATCTAAGGACAAAATTGAGAAACGTTGGAAAAGAAGGTTGAGTGGAAACAAGAATCATAGGAAGGAAGTGAGATAACGGATGGTATGTGGAGGGGATTGCAATCTTTGAAATGCAACAAAGTGTATAATTTGAATATAAAACTGATGATTTGCTCTGTAGTCCTTCACTCAATTCACAATACGTGGTGATGGTGGTGGTGGTGGTGGTGGTTGTATGCCCTTGAGTCAATCCTGACTCATAGAAGCCTAGTTTAGGGTTTCTGAGGCTAAATCTTTATGGAGGCAAAAAGTCTTATCTTTCTCCTGGTGACCTGGCGAGCTGCTGGTGGACTTAAACTGCTGAACTTGAGGTCAGCAGTTCAGTGCTTATCATACAGCACCACTAAGGCTTTATTTAATACATAATAAAATATGTATTAATATATCATACATAATATTGTATATTTAATATATAATAAAAATGTTTTTTTAAAAAGAGAGAGAGATGACAATTTGTAAAGAAAACTTTTTTCAGGACACAAGGGGATATTGGAGAATGACTTCTTTACTTCCTAAAAAAATTAAAGAGGAGTTTTTATTTGTTTTTTACAAAAATGGCTCCAAAAGGGAAGAAGAGAGTCCTTGGTCTTCCCAAAACTGAAACCAAAGCAAAGATGCCAAAGGTCAAGAAGGTAGTGCAGAAAGATGGCCATAATGGCAGAAAAAAAATAGAAGATCCACACACCTTGCAATGGCTCAAGACACTGTAGTGCCTAAGGTAGGCCAATACCCTCAGAAGAAACAAACTTAACCACTATGTCATCATCAAGTTCCCACTAACTACTGAGTCAGCCATGAAGACAATCATGATTACAACACATTTGTGTTCATAGTGGGTGTCAAGGTCAACAAGTGCCAGATCAAATGCGGTGAAGAAGCTATATGAGACTGACATGGCTAAGGATTGTTGGGTCTGATGGAAAGAAGTAGGCGTATATATATGTTCAACTGGTTCCTGACTATGATGCTTTGTTGTTATTGTTAGATGTGACCCTATGCACAACAGAAGGAAACACTGCCTAATCCTGAGCCAACTTCTGAATTGTTATACCTGAGCCCATTGTTGCAGTCACTATGCCGATCCATCTCCCTGGGAGGTGGGGGGGGGTCCTCCTCTTTTTAGCTGACCCTCTACTTTACCAAACATGATGTCCTTTCCCAGGTATTGGCCTCTTCTGATAACATGT